ATATAAAGATGTCGACTTCAAAGAGCCTCGATCTTGAAAAAGAAATGGCCCTGCAAGTTTCGGTAAATTTCAAGAAAAACCCATGTCTAGATGTGATTATGCGAGAATAAGAGGAGCAAAAAATCATGGAAATCTGGTTTTACTTGCGAGGTCCACATGGAAAAATAAAACTTTTGAGAATTTTTGTCTATTTTGCAGGGCCAGAGTTTTTTGGAATGTTTTTCCCTCTTGAAATCTAGCATACTGTTAGTAATAATTGCTAAAATATACTCCTTTCCGGTTTAGAGGGCTTATCTCAACTTTTTCGTTCTTCCGATTTAAAAGGGCTAATCTCCATCTCCTATTGAGATTTCGATGTGCATTAAATCTTTGTATGCACAAATTAAAAAGGAACTCATCAGTGCATGTAATGTTTCTACTCGTCTACTTTCTCCGTTCCTAAATATTTGACTTTCTAGAGATTTCAAATGGACTACCACATACTGATGTATATAGACATATTTTAGAATGTAGATCCACTCATTTTGCTCCGTATGTAGTCACTTGTTGAAATCTCTAAAAAGACAAATATTTAGGAACGGAGGGAGTAGTGGCCAAGCATGCATGCGCTTCAATTGATCCACATTAATGCATCAGTTTAATTTGGTTAGTTTTGTAAGATATGAGATATATTCCTCCACTCACCATCTGCCTTGATTGATGAGATTTCAGATTTGAGCCCTATATGGCTACTCAGGCTGCTCGTAGTGGGTAGTATCATAACTTAGTATCATGCATATGATACTAGTGCATGATCCGAGAGCGGCGATTTGGTGCCCGGGCTCAGATGAGCCCGGCCATGAACAGTACCGTGATTTAAAATAGAAAGAAGTTAAAAAACAATTTTTCTTGGGTGCAAGATGCTCCTGTGCGTGAACTCCGTACAAAATTTTGCGAAGTTTGGACATTCGAGGAGCTTGTGACAAAAAAGACAAATTTCGGATGTCTGATAAACTTTTGAAAATTGCACTGTTCACGCCTAACTTTTTTCTTTTTTTCCGTGAGCTCCTTGAATGTCCAAACTTCACAAAATTTTGCACGGAGTTCATGCACAAGAGCATCTTGCACCACAAAAAAGTTGAAATTTTTTGAAATCTTTTTTCTATTTTAATCAAGGTTCACCGGGCTCCGGGTTGAATTATCGTGTATGATACCACCTTTGTAACATAGTATCATATATTAGTATCATAAATGATCCTATCATTCAGATCTAGTATGCTGGTTGGATCCTTCGGATGTATGGTTCTTTTCAATAGCGACTTTTGTTGTCCTAGTGCGCTGGTTCTGTAGGGCCACGACGAATTCCCGATTGTCTACTATAATAAATTTTGCCCGGCGCCGGTGGGGCAATGAGGGGAGCACGTCTTTAACTCGCTCTAGTGCTTCTATTCATTGCTGCGTGGTTTACTGATCTGAATGTATTTTTTGCTACTTTTTGTGCTCTTTGTGTATTTACATTTCATCCCACTACTTTTGCATGTCAATGATCAATTGGTCGGTACCCGCAAAAAAAAATATCAATTGGACGGCGGGCATATACATCTCCATCGCGCAATCAGCAGGGCCCACGGCAGTCGGCAACACACCATCTTTATCCTTCCTTTTTCTGTTTCTAATTAACAAAGGCGTTTGGAAATTTTGCATCCATGCATTAACGGCACGCTATAAAAATGGCCGACAGAGCATCACGTCAAAACGGCGATCCTTCCCTTGGTTTCCACGCTCGTCGCGTGTTCTTTTCCCATTCTTTTTGCCCCTCCACGCTTCACCGATGCGACTTCTGTAACGTTATGTCGACCAAGGAACATTGCTGCCGACAAATTAAGGGTTCCATTGATTCATAGGGATTTTGAAGGATTATAATCCTTGGAATTTTTTCATATGCTGGTAGTTTTTGATTCATAGGATTGAATCATATAGGAATTTTTCTAAGGATTTTCTTTTACTACTTTCCATAGGATTCTATCATCCACTCAAATCTTGTTGAAAAAAACCTTCATTTTTAATATGATGCAATCAAACAACTTAAAATCCAGTAGGATTGAGATGAGCACGACATTCCAATTCTACGTGTTTTTTATTTCTTTAGAACTCTACTGTTGCCGTTTTGTCAGTTTTTATTTGATGATTTTTTTTTGGTCGGACTTTCGGATTTGGCTGTGTGCATCCTAGTTATGCAGAGGCCGGGTGTTACTCATAATGCTTTGTATCCACTTGATGCTACATTTTGAATTAATAAAATCGCTCTTTATCGAAAAAAATGGGTTTTCTATTTCTGTGTTTTTAGAATCCTGTGAATCAACAAAAAAAAAATCACGTGAGTCAAGGAGGCTTATTGCAGACTGAACAAACCGGGGCTAGTTTACAATCAGCAATACAATACTCCACATTGCCTGACCCAGTACGTAGCCAAACAGCCGTACGGACGTCTAGGCCGGCAAAATTTGGCCTTGTTACTAATTTCATTAGAGTAGACTTGGATAATGTCCGTGTGTTGCAACATTTACGTTAGTTTGTGATTTAGCTGCCCATATTAATGTCATTGTGTAAATATATTTTTATCAAATCTTGCCCGTAATTTACCTTATATTTTGATGAAAAGTTGAGTAATAAATTAAAGTAAAATTGGTTTAAAGGTAAGTAAATTAAGATGCTTGATTATCACACAGAAAAGGTTGGACGAAAGGATGATGGAAAGAAAAGTAAAACATAAAACCTTACATTCTTTTTAGGGATAATAAGTATATTTTCCATCCTCAAACTCTTTCGAAATTTGAGAAATCATCCCCCAACTCCAAAACTATCAAAAGCCAGTCCCTCAACAGTTTAAATCGGATACTTTTCGTCCCTAATAACGTGTAAGGTAGTTTTACTGTGACCTGGGCCCTGTTTTGACTAAAACAGGCCACGTGGGCACCCGCCGGCTCTCTCTCTCGCTTTCGCATTCTCTCGACCCCCTTTCCCATTCACGAACCCTGAACATATATAGCGGTGGCGGCTGCTGCGATTCCCTCATGGGCGGCGGCGGCAGGCAGCGAGGTGTGGCTACGGCGGCAGTGGTGGCGTGGCCAGCCGGCGATTGAGGCGCGGTGGTTACTTGCTTCACGTTGGTTGTGGTGGTGGCTACTAGGGCACGACAGCGGTGACCTTGGGCATGACCTGTTCTGGGCGGCGGCGACGATTTAGGTGGTGATTCCCTCATTGGCGGCGGTGATTAAGGCTAGCGGTTGTTGGTTGAGCACGGTGGCGGTTGCACCATGAACTCCAGTTCATCCTTTACTGTCAATTTCACCTCCGGCCCGGCAAGTTCCCAAGTTGGCGGAAATAAAAGAGCAAAGAAAGTGCCAACAAAACTACTAGACTAGTGCTTGTTTGTTGTTGTCTGTTATTATGTCAGAACATATGAGAATCCATGTTTATCATTGATTGTTAGCTATATTCAGTACTATTTCCCTTTCTCATTTAGTGCTTTGTCAGACTACAACTAAATTGGGTCGAGACTATGTTTGGACTATCTTCAACTATATAGGGTTCAAATTATGTTCAATTAAATTCAGTACAATGCTTTGAAATGTCCAAACTATTTTTAGTTATAATCAGATTTTGTTAAGCTATATTCAGTGCAAACACTTTCCTTTTCTTTTGTTCTTACTTGTACACACGCGTGTGCGCGCGCACACACACATGCACAAACAATTAGCTGATGTGGCAGTCAAAACCAGTCCACGTGGCTCGTTTCAATGAAGACAAGGTTCTCGTCACAGTAAAACCACCTTAAACGTTATGAGAGACTAAATAGTTGAGGGATGAAAAGTATCCAGTTTAAATAGTTGAAGAACTGACTTTTGGTGGTTTTGAAGTTGAGGAACGATTTCTCAACTTCTGGAAGAGTTCGACGACAAAAAAAATATACTTATCCATTCTTTTTAAGCAGTGAAGATTAACTAATCGGCTCCATATAAATTGCTCATGCATGACGCCACTAATTAGCTACCAACCAGAGAAACTGGGGGACATCGACATGCCAATGTGTGACATGCATTAGCTATCTAGCTCGATCGACCAGATTCTACGCACGTACATCGACTTGTAGATGAAAAATGAGCAACTTGCACAATCAAAAGTGAGCCTCTCGCATCATGGAGTTTCTTTAGGCAACTTGCCCTAAGACTAGTCCCATACGCTGCAAGGTGGTGCTACTAATTACTCGATTGCAGGCCAAGGAAAGATATTCCCCGTACAAGGGGGGCGGCCCGCTCTGGTTTTTCTTCTAACTTTGTTGAATTGAGCTTGGAGCAAGTTGTTTATTTGTTATTTGAAATGTATGCGCGCGGGGCAAGTGGGTGTGGGCTCGCGAGATTTCTCACGATCGTGATAATGGGGGACTTGGAAGGTGCAGTGTAGTGTCCAAGTGAGGCGCATGCAAGCTACTAGTTGTGATCTGTTTAATAGTTTTCCATCGGTCACCGTCGTGGTACAGTTCGTCCCTGAGAGCGTTTCTACGCGTGAGTCGCTGTTGCGCAAAACTTCGCGTCGGCGAGATCCACTTAGACAGCAACACGGATAATGTTAGGAGGTGCGGATTAATTTGGTGCACGCGGTTCGTTTGATTAGGATTAAGCACATGAGAAATGCACACGGCCACATAGACGCACTTCATCATTTAGTTTGTCAGTTAGATTTACACGCATATGTACAAGATTCATTGATATCATATGCAAAGTTCGAGTAATATGTAGTCGAATCAGTACTGCACATTAATTCAACCACTAGTTAAGTTAACAAGATGAGATGATTTACACAAAACAACCAGGTGCACAAAGCCAAAAAAATCACATGACACTAGGGCTAGTTTAGGGTGCAAATCATGTCGCTCCAGATTCCAGAACCCCAACCTTGCGCGCATGGTACGGTCTGCGGCCGGCGGTACCTTTCTGGTCTGCCGGAGTGCATGACGGGCATCAGTTGACGTGCGGCACAGCCAGCGCGAGTTGCTCCGCCGTGCGCGCCAGCGACTGGAGGTTGCACCGCACGATGGTGTCCACGAACAGGCGCGTCTCGTCGCTGGTGTTCCCAGGCGGCACGTCCACCACGTACGACTCGACCACCAGAGTCACCCGCGGCGCCCCGGCCGCCACCGTCGACGCCACCTCGTTCACGGTGGTCACGGACCGGTAATTGGCGAGGCGGTGCTCACCGCCCACGATCCGGAAGCTGAGCACCCGCCGCTCGTCGTCCAGAATCTCGAGCCGCTCGCGGCTGCTCGTGCCAGGCAGGCCGGAGACCACGCGCACCTCCCGCACCGACCCCACCGCGCCGCCGTCGCCGTCCACCACGCGGCAGCTCTTGATGAAGCGCTTGTACGCCTGCGGCCGGTCGAAGCGCCGCACGACCGACCACACCGCCTCCACGGGCGCCGCGATCGCCTGCACCACGGCCGAGCAGCACTGCCCCGCGCCGGCCGCGTGCTCATGGTACAGCGCCACCTCGCCGGGCACTGCTGCGCCGTGCGCCACCAACGCCTTACAGCCGGAGCTGATCCGGCTGTGCTGCTGAAGCGACGGCCGGGCAGCTGCATACGGCATTATAGACAAGCCACGCGCGGTCGAGATTCTGAGTTTTATCGCTGTGAAGAAGAAATTTCAGAAGAGTGGGTGGGTTAGGAACTTAGGATTAACGGAGGAAGTTCTCTAGTCCTGGATGTGCTATATATGTCAAATGGGAGACCAAGAGGTGGATGGTTGCAAGTTAAATACTACTCCTAGTTAATTTTCTTTAGGAGGTTGCACTTGCTTTCGTTACTTTGTGCTGGGAGAAGCAAGTTGATGCGATAGTTTAGGAATTGTTTCTAATGAATGGGTGGTATGGACAGTGAAGCCTAAACGGGGGTGGTTAATTTTAGTTTGACAAAC